TAAAATGCACACAGCCTGTAATTATTGCACATTGCTTCTCAAAACTGTTCCAAATAATGCCTCAGAATTTCATCTCTTGAGATTTTTAACTTTTGGAATAGTAGAGGCAACTCCCTGTAATTGAATATTTCTGTGGGTGGGGGCAAATTGAGGGATTGTGCACTCTAGGGTTGCCAGCTTCCAGTTGGGCCTGATGGCATACAATAAGGTATGACAGGCAAGATGACAGCCAAGTAAAAAGTAGTCTATTAGATCATCTTGATCTGAGGTGACAGTTAGTGTGTCATGTGACATGTCACCAGGTCCTAAGATTGTATCATCCTGACTACTGTCACCATGAGTCAGCACTTTGTTCTGATTGGTGCTCAGATGTATATATTGAGTACAGTCTGTATGCTATTGTTCACTCTTGTGGATTGAATGCTATGCGAAGCACTTTGTCAGTAAGCCTGGTGAATTGGATGCTACAAGTGCTAAAGGACTGTATGTATATAGTTGCTGTAAATAAACCACTGTAAATAGTTCAGCACTAGCCAACTCTGGAATGTGTTATTATTGGCGCTTCCATTACGCTGACAGGGCCCTGAGGATCTCTCGCTTTTACAACTTATCTCCAGCTGACAGAGATCAGCTCCCCTGGAGAAAGTGGCTGCTTTGAAGGGTAGATTTTATGGCATTCCACCCTGCTGAAGCCTCTCCCCTCCATTCCCAAGGACTCCAGACTTGGTAACCCCAGTGCATTCCCTGGTTATCACCATATCTATTAATATTAAATTTTCTGAAACCTTTTTACTTTTCTCTGCTTTTGTCCTTGCTACCAAATCTCTTTCTCTTGGAACATATTACTTTATACTTTCTCTCCCTTACTCCACACACACACACACACACACATATAGCAAGAGGGGAGTCCTGGTTCTACCTCTCCTCCATCGTCGCATCAGCCCAGGAATGTTACCCATATGACTCCAGACAACAAAGGGAAGGAGAGTCCACAGTGACCTGGCTAAAAGGTTGTTCTGCAAACTCCCCACATTCCCCTTCCTGCTCAAGAGCCAGGGAACAGTCCCAGACTGATTCCTGTCCCAGCCCTCTCTGCCTCTAAATTCCTGAATTACCTATAATTCCTATAATTCCTTTGCCTTATTCTGCACATATATAGCCTTGTAAATTTAGAATCAATCCACCTCTAAAAGAATTTAACTTCAAAATTTTTACAGATTATATTATCATGTAGTAGTTTCCTAAAATTGGAAACCTATTTTCCTTTAAACAAGACCAGTTTGTAATCCTTCTTGCACATGTAAAACTTCTGGAGCCCACCCAAATGAGGTCTCAGACATCCCTGAGAAGCTCATTGTCCTTCATTTGCTGTTATTGGTGCCTCTTTGCTCCCTAATTGTAGTGAGAGGCAATTTTTCTGTTTTTCTACGGGTTTGCTCTGCCTCTTTCTTTAAAAGATCAAAATCCCTAGGATCCCTTTGTGGATTTCTCTGTACTTCTTCTTCTACTCCCTGTCTCTTAGGCATCTGCATCTCTATTTTCTGCCTTCTGGACAACTCACTCTGTCCTTTTTCCATTTTCCCTTCAGAATTGACAATACACACAACACACACTCAACACACACTCAGTTCACAATCACTTAGCTGCCCTGATCGTGGGCGTTTGACTGCGGAGGGGTCTACGTCCAACCCGAGGGCCTCTTTCAGATCGGGCGTGCTTCCGATCGTCACAAGACAGGATAGGAGGAGACAGGACACAACATGTAACATTCACCTGCCTAACACCTAGGCACTAAGGCTGAGAGTCTGCCACCACTCTCACCTCACTGGCGGAATTACTACCTGCCAGAGCCTCCCTCCACTGTCAGGACCCTCCCTGACTTAACACTGGCCTAACACCTTTTAGGCACACCAACTGTCAGGACCCTCCCAGACTTAACACTAAGGCTGAGATTTTTCACCACTCTCACCTTGCTGGAGACGTTACTACCCACTGTACCCTTCCTCCACTATCAGGCACCCTTCCTGACTGGAAGAGATACTGTAGCCTCCCCTGGACCACCTGGATACAGTAGACCATTTATTCACCAGGTTCCGTGCATGGCAACTTGCGTGGCCCTTCAACACTCTCGGAATTCCGGACTCAAAACCTTCCCCCCCCTTCCAATTACATCCACTTTGAGCCTGTGGTTTGTTTTCCTGGTTCCCAGGTCGGGGCAGCCCCTCGGGAGATCCACTGAAATCGGTGGGGTGCACCTTCCTCCCGGGGCGCAATCCCAACGCCAGGAAATTAGCAGGAAAGCATCCCAGACGAGCCCCCATTTGTTAGGGACAATAACATTTGCCCTAGGGCAATAACGTTTGCCCCACAAAGAAATCAGGCAGAAAATCAAAGTGGAGGTAGTACAAAGATCTTTATCTGATGCGCATGAGGGAAACCCAGCCTGAGTCCAGAAACTCAGGCCAAGGGCTTTGTAGTTCTGCGGTTACATACAATTTTTATACAATCGCCTAACATATGCAAGCTTCTAATGCCCTATCATGACCGCAAAAAGTCCCTGTTTGTTAGTTGATTGGTCAACAACAAACTTACACTCTCCTCGCTACGCCTCTTCTCCCTAGTCCTGCCTTAGTTTCAGTTAAATCCTTCATTAAGCCATCCCTTCTTCCTGCTGTTTTAATTCCATATATGTACATGCTTACTCTCAATTAGCTACTCATTGTAGTGAAAACCAGGTGATTTCCATCCTCAATTGGGATGATATACCTTATCCGGATCCTGTCCTCCCATGACAAGAGCAGCTGTTTGCTATCTCCTGGTTTGCTATCCTTATCAACAAATATGTTCCTATAGATGTCTACCTCATGATGGATGGCCTCCTGCCTCCTGCTGTACATCTTGTATTCTACTGTGTAAGCTTATTTTTTTACAAATGAACCTTTTTTATAACAGAGTTCATTCTGAGTGTGTGCTACTTTCCAGCTTCTAAAAGCAGGCTCTAATACTTCTCATTATAGAATATTGATGAATTCCCAAAATTTCTCAATCAATACCCATCCCTAACACAATAATGACATTTATCAATTAATGAAGCTAGATTTGTCTTGGTGAAGGGGGAATGTTTAATTCGCTTCTTAGGATGGGACCTATCTAAAGCGTTATCAGCTATTTAACTGAGTGGGGGTTAGGGTGGATGTTAAGTCACTCACTTAACAAAGTAGTCAGAGAGTGATTCAGCAAAAGATCAGCTTTATTCAACAATTGTAACACAACTCCAACACGGATCAACATCTGATAGCCAGAACAGCTTTTACATTGCAGCTGTCCTGCTTTTAAACTTTCCCGGCTAATGTAGCCACGCCTACTGTACAAATACCAACCAATAAGGTTGCATACATAAGGACCAATCACTGACGTTCCTGCTCAGGGAGCTTGTTGATAGTGATTGGTTAGGTGCTTCCTGGGCTAGCAATGTGATTCGATGTATTTGGATCCTAGCCCAGGACGAAGCTTAACATAGCATTTCAATTAGATGTTTTCATAACACATTATGCATTCAATGGCAGCTTATTGAATACATTTAGGGTTGCCAAGTGGATTTTCGCCGGGAGCACGGGGCTCCCAGCCGGCGTCTGTTGCGCGTGCGCACGCGTCGCATGCACATCACCCAGAAGTGGCGTGACGACGCCAGGCACGCTGGGAGTGGGGCCACAGCCATACGAGGGGAAACCCCAGCGTGCCCGGCGTGGTCACATCACTTCCGGGTGACATGCACTTCGGGAAGGAGTTCCCCCCAGGGCCTGATCCGGCGGGGGGACTTGGGAAGCCTAAATACATTACAGGGGACTTTTGAAAATTTATGAGTACTGCCAGCCAGTCTAACCTGTTTACTGTAAGAGAAATATAAGATGCTAACCCATCCTCAGTTGTTTCTCTGTTGCATCCTGTAATCAGAGCTTTACCGGTTGTGTACAAATGTTCCATTTTCTGAGTCTATACAAACACATTCTTTTTCTAAAAAACTCATCCCAATCCTACATGTGATACATTTTGTTTAATCTCTTATGTATCTGATGAAGTGCACAAGCACATGAAAGCTTATACCTAGAATTAAACTTTGTTGTTCTTAAAGCCACCGCTGGAGTCAAACTCTTGTTCTACTGCTTCAGACCAACAGGGCTATCCACCTAAATCCCAATCCTAGTTTATACTATCATGAGGTACGAATGGTGCTTAATAAATAGTTGTGGGCTGCATCACTTTCTAAGTCAGGATAATTACTCTGTGTGTGCATGAATGCGTCTTTAGACAAAACAAAGCACTCTATAAGCACTTTAACAAATTTATTTTGACAAGCTTTCGTGAGCTGGAGCCAAACACACGCAATAATTAACGCATTCCAACTGACGAAATCAGAGCCAGTTTTGCAAGAAAAAAGCAACAGAGGCCAGAGAGATCGCGCCATCGGCTCCTGAAGCTCGAGGGTATTCTACTATTTAGGGTTAGAAGTGCACCGTGGTAAGGTTAGATATTTTTATTTTGTCTCGTAATACCGTACATTGTAAAGGGGCCTTCAGTGCCACGGCACGGAATCGGCGTAGAAATGCAACGAACAATTTGAATCCCCAACCGAAACAAAGTAGTGCAGATTTGAAAGACACACGCCTGTGGCAAGAATAAACACGTTCAGTCACAACGCACGCTATGTAACGAAAGCCTGAAAAAGGCGGGCGGGAAGGAAGGGAAATAAACTTCCCCCTCAGACCAAGACAACGGCGCCCTCAGTTAAGTACAGCGCTACTGGCCAAAACACCTCTCCCTCCGCATTAGCGGCCCCTCACAAAGCGCACACTACATTTCCCAGCGTGCAATGGGCCCAAGCGCCGTCGAAAATCTTGATCCGAGGTCTCTTGCGCGTGCGGCTCGGGCCGGAGCTGTCGCTCATTGGCTCGCGGAGCCTCGTGCGATGATGACGCTCTAGGGCAAAGGGGAGGCGATAAGGTGGGAAGGGGAGGCGGAGGGAAGGCGGGCACGGCGGAGACAAGGTGGAGGGGGTGGGATTCCCGGAGGCGCCGGCGTCACCGTGGGGACTCCCTCCTCACCTCGGCGCTGGGCACGGGTGGACGCGGTCGTCAGGAGGTGCCAGGTGAGAGGGCAGGCTGTGGGGAGCCCTGGTTTGGAGTCTGGGTGCCTCTGTGGGGGACAGGGCAGTGGGCCCCTGCACGGCTGCCCTGTCCAAAAACCTTGGCCTGCTCCGGGGCTGGGGGAGGGGGGAGCCTTGTGGCCGGTGGTGCTCGCTAGGCACGCGGGCTGTTTATGCGCTTCCCTGGGAGGTGACTGCATTCCTCTACTTCAGCCTCTCTTCTTGGGGACTGCTGCTGACCTTGGACAAGTCCCTTGTTTGTTTTTTTCCCTGCCTCAGTCATGGTAGTGAAGGGGGAAAGGAGTAATCCTTTAATATTAATATACAGTTAAAATTACTGTAAGCATTTTTTGTGAACCAGCTTTTACAGCAAAACCAAAGTCTTGTGATTTTTGTAAGCGACTAATCAATGATGCCTCATTAAATTTGCCTCTGAAGATGACATGAAACTTTGATTTTTGACCTATTAATTGCTATTAATTGCTGTAGTTGTGTGATCTTGTGGTTTGTTTTTAGCCTGCTGAAGTGCTGAGGGACTGTCCTTGTGTTTAGAGAACGTAAACAACTCTTCTCCTCTTCCCCTTCTCTCTATACCTGGCAGTCTAAAATAACTAAGAATATACACTGTGTGCTAGTAATTCCCCCCTGCCTGTACCTCGTGGCAGCCATAATTTTGAGCAGGTTAGGAGCTGAGACAGTTTTGCAATAAGTTTGGTTTCCCAAAGGAAGACAGTGCTCAAGGGAAAAAGTTTGCAACGTCAGTGTCCTGTGTTATTGTGTAAAGTACTTGAAACACACTCTTGAGGACGTGAAGCGTTGTAAGAACACGAGAAGAACCCTACTGGATCAGACCCATAGTTCGTCTACTCTAGCATCCTGTCTCACACAGTGGTCAGCCAGTTCCTCTGGAGGGCCAACACCAGGGAATAGAGGCTGAAGCCTTCCCTTGATGTTGTCCCCTGGCTCTCGGATTCAGAGGCTTAGTGCTTCTGAATGTGGAGGTTCCCCTGAGTTATAATGGCTAGTAGCCATTTATGTGAGTCAAAGGCTTTCTGCCTCGTTTCAGTTTAAAGATCCTCCCAAGAAAAGTGAATGCTCTAAATTTGGTGCCACATGTTCTACTGCTTCAAACTAACATGGATGACCACTTGGATCTATTTGCTCTAATATTGGTATAAGAATGAAGGAAACAAAATACATTCTGTGCACCATGTGTCCAGTAAATAATTTAGGTAGTCTGTACCAAGGAAGTCCAGGCTTGCTATGCAGAGGCAGGCAATGACGAACCACCTCTGAATGTCTCTTGCCTTGAAAACCCCACAGGGTCTCCATAAGTCATGAAATAATACTAAGGAGAATAATTTGTAAGTATAATAATTTGTGATATAAATTAGTAATCTAATAATTGTAAACATGTATAAAAATAAGTGTAAAATTAAGTAGTATGATTAGCTCCTTAATGTAACAGATACAATAGTTCATTTTAATTTAAAACTTAACCACCGGCTATTTGGATGAGAGATGATAATAAATTAACTAGTTGTAGTTCTCCTGTAGGCAATTTATATGCATTTATGCCACTTGTAAATGACAGCTGTATAGAAGTAGAGGATGGTGCAGAGTTGGTTTTCTGTTACCCCAGAAAAAGAGTTTTTTGGCTAAACATTAGGAAGAGCTTCCTGACAATTAGAGTGGTTCCTCAGTGGAACAGGCTTCCTCAGGAGCTGGTGGGCTCTCCCCTTCTTTGGAGGTTTTTAAACAGAGGCTTGATGGCCATCTGACAGCAATGCGGATTCTGTGAACTTAGGCAGATCTTGAGACGGAGGGCAGGCAGTGCTTAGTTCTTGTGGTCCTTTCTTACATTCCCAGGGAAATGCCAATCACTACTTTGGGGTCAGGAAGCAATTTTCTCCAGGCCAGTTTGGCTAGGGTTCCTGGTGGTTTCTTGCCATCTTCTGGGCATGAAGCAGGAGTCACTGGGTGTGTGTGTGTGTGTGTGTGTGGGAGGTATTTGTGAGTTTCCTGCATTACGCAGGGGGTTGGACTAGATGACCCTGGAGGTGCAAGACTAAGTCTGTAGCTTAATGGATTCAGTGGGGTTTGAATAAGACCAAATTGTGAAGCATGAAGTCCAAGCAAGTGCTGTATATGTGACCCAATAAATCATTCAGTTATAGGTAAGGGTCGATTCCAAAGGGCAGGAAGGCAGTTTATTGGCATGGTGCTCTTAAGGGCTATGCCGACAATCCAATGTAGAGTTGCTGGTAAACACATGGACAGGATTGTGCTATAAATGGTTTATTAAAGAATTATGTCTTGAAGGGAGTTACGAGGTTGTGGCAGAGATGCTTGCTAAAATGTTCGTCTTATGGTGGGCAGTGTACAGGCATGATATCTAACATTGTATTGGGAGTGTACATACTAGTGACAGAAGCTGTGATTCTCAGAAGCCTAGTTCTCAGTGAGATGCTGAACATCTGTTTGAGTTGTACAGTTTAAGAATGCAAGTGGAGCTACATGTGATTTAAAAAAAAAAAACCTGCTGAGTTATTTATTTGCCTTATTTATACCATACATTTCTCCCCAGTGGTGACCCATAGCTACTGGGTTTTTTGTGCAGGGAATGGTTTGTATGGTGGAGCATTCAGTTACTTCAGTCCTACCTGCTTGTGATGTGCTCAAAGACAGCTTTCATACTTCAGTGCAAACTAGCCATAAGATGGGTGTCACTAAAGCAGTACAAACGTATTGTGCGAGAGGTGTAAATTCCTCTCCTGGTTATTGTGCTAGAGGTGTAAATTCCTCTCCTGGTGTTTTTCAGAAAATGCTGTCTCCAAGCTGCAGTGAACATTGTCTGTCCTAAGTCAAATAATTAATGTCAAAAGCATTTAGAGTTTTTTGCTTCTGTGGGATCCTTGCCTTTAAACCGTAACCAGTGCTGGGACAACGTAGGCAGGTCATGAGAAGGAGGGAGGGAAGGGTGGCATCAGGTCTTAGTTCTCAAGGTCCTTTCTTACACACCCAGGGGAATGCTGATCACCACTTTGGGGTCAGGCAGTAATTCTTTTCCAGGCCACTTTGGCCAGTGATCCTGGAGGTTTTTTGCCATCTTCTGGGCATGGAGCAGGGGTCACTGGGTGTATGTGTGTGGGGAGTATTTGTGGATTTCCTGCACTGTACAGGGCTTGGACTAGATGACACTTGGAGGTCCCTTCCAACTTTATGATTCTGTGATTCTGAGAGTGAATGTTAACTGTTGAAATAGTACCTAATTTCATAAGCATGTGATGGCAGCTTAAATGTGGCAAGCTGCTCACATGCAATGGTGTGCAGTGTGGATCTGGTGGTTTTTGCTACATCACCACAATCCTTTTAGATTACTTGTTTTTAGATAATTGTCATTGCTAATAGTGAGTCAGGATGTAATAACACATAAAAGCCCTAAAGTTTTCATGGAAGGCTCATTTTTTCCATCGTTTGAAGGGTTCTGCCATAAAACGGTCCAGTAGACTCTAATGCTTCAGTCCTGAAGTGCATTAACTTGATCACAGTATCACTTTAGTAATGAGCTATGCTAACACTACCTTTCAGGGTGCTTTTAGTTCTGAGGGGAGAGAGAAGTTATAGAGTGGACCTGTTGGTTTAGTTTCTTGTCTGGTGAATGCTGAGAAGCGGTAGGAACTGTGGGGGTGTACTTACTCCTCTGTTAGTACTGTTTTTAGCTGAGAGTTTTACTCCACATTGGCTTTTGCTTCTTCCCTTGTGCTTCAGGCAAGAGTTGCCTATTACAGGAGTTCTCAACCTTTTTGAGCCTGTGGGCACCTTTGGAATTCTGGCAAAGGATGGGTGCAGTCGCAAAGCCGCTGCAGCAAAATATCAGGGAACAGTCATGCATAATTCTAATAATACATTTCAGGTAGAAGCCCTAGATAACCAGATGCCTTTTAAAATGAGCATATTGTTTAGGAATATTTTCTTGCATATGCACAGCTTTCCTTCAGTCACACAGTGAACGTCTTTGGCACGTTAATTATTTGCAACTTTTGTAGTAAGACCCAGGTTTCTAATGCATGACAAACATTTTCGTCTAGCAGAAAAGACTAGAGAATCCGATTTGATCTATTGACATGCCAGGGTAGTTTTCTTTACATCTCGGTTCCCTTGGCTTTTGTATCTTGAGACACTGAACACATACCCATAAGATTAAAGATAACTAGATAGCCACAGTTGACTTGCAGGGCAGAGGATGGACTGTGAAAATAGCTAATATGTACTGTGTTAGGCTAATATAAGTGACAGTTTATTTGAATTATTGCTCAATAGCTGTACTTTGGTCTAGCTTTAATCTTCATCAGCTATTTTTGCTGTTTATCTTGTTAAACCTTGGCTGTGTTATCGTTGCAATGTGCTGCTAAGAACTACATTTATTTTGAGCTGTGGTCTGGAGCCCTTGCAAATCTTTTTAAGAATTCCTCCAAGAGAAGTGTCATAAAATGTGTTAGCAAGTTTACATTAAACTTTTAAGATGCCGCTTTTGGCTTTGCTGCCTTCTCTGGTGATTGATACGCATCCTGACCAACCGTCTTTGGTTTGGCAGCTGTACATCTTGCCAAGGAAGAAATGCAGAAACCTACATGTTGAATAGGAATAATTAAAAAGGAAGTATGAATGCATCATGCCTCTGTTGCCCCTTTTGCATTAGGTGCGAAATTGTAGTTTCTTGTTATCTGTCTTCTTCCTAAGCAGGCACTCCCCTCTTATACCTGTTTAGCTTACTATAAGCAGAAAAGCTTCACACACATGTTATGGTCTGGTCTGTTAAGAAGTATATGTACAAGGAAGTGAATCTTCTTCCTTTTCTCATATTGTTTCCTGGGCTCAAAAAATAAATGCCAGTCTTGAAATTGCCGTAGGATTTCATTGTGGCATATCTTCAGCCATGAAGCACAAAAACATTTGAAAAGCCATTTCAGGCATGTGTAGTTGCATAACCTTGAGCCAGA